TGCACTCCGGACCGCTCAGCAAGCATGGCTGGCAGTGAGAGCTAATGACAGCGTATAGGCCAAGATAATTGAAGTTAGACATTGCGGCCCGTGGCAATCTTCAACTGCATCGACCGCATGAGGCAGATGCCGATATTCCTGATCGACACATATCTTTGCATCTGACCTTCTGCCGCCGTCACCTCCCGACGGCAGGTCGGGCTCTCCTGAAGCTCCGCCTGGGCCCTGCCGGCATTGCCCGTGAGTGACGCGGCACCTGCTGCCATTGTCATTGTCGACAGTTCTGCTGATCAGGGCCATGATCCCAGGGCTGCCTGCATGTGGGAGTTTCGGAAAGTAAGCGGCCCAATGGGATCCTTGCTATGAGGACCTCAAAGCAAGGTACCCGCCCTAAACCCTAAACCCTACACTCTTAATCCCCCCCTAGCTTCAAGAAGCCCACATGTTGCGACTTGGCTCACTTGGCTGTCGGACTCGGACGTCTTAGGTCCTTCCAAGTTCACTGTCTCCTCCCTCTAAAGCTTTTCGCATCTTTTCGCCACGTGGGCGCCGAGGATCTAACGCAAGTTTCCAAGTCCCAAGGCATGTACCCCCAAGGCCTTAAACTGCGTTTCTCAAAAGCTAAACCCAATACACCGCCAATACCCTAACGACTGATCTTGCACACGGCTCTGGGGGCCAGTGCCCTTGCTGATGACTTAAGTATTATACGTCCGAAATTCTCAATGTGTAAGCCAGTACCTCAAACCCTGAAGCCCAAAATCCTAAAGCGGCAGACATAAACTGCACCGTATGCGGCACGCATTTGGCCACGAAGCTTTTGCATGACTGGGCTACGTCTGGGCCTTTCCAGCTCTACTTCAGCTCCAGCGCGGTGCGTGTTCTCCTGTGGCAAGTTGAACAGAGGCTAGGAGGGGACCAGGTAGCTTCAGAAATTTCATCTCTTGCTCTAAGACGCAAAGCCCGAAACCTTAATGTTAAACCCGCCTTGATTGAAGAGGTACTTTTGAAATTGTCTTCTGGGGCCGGTTTGAACAGGATCGCTTTGAAGAGGCCCCTGAGACCCTAGAACCTAGATCGAAGGTTTAGGTTTTAGGGTTTAGGGCTCAGGTTATCTCAGCTTCCCCTATGAAGTCCAGCAAGGAGATGCCTGGGCGTCTCAGGCTTCCTATGCTCCGAGGCGTCTCAGGCAGAAAGTCTTGCCGTGGATCCTCTACTTGATTTGGTCCCACCGAAGAGAAGGCCCCTAAAGCCTTTCAGCTCTAAGGCCAACGCCCAAATCGAGCGAAAGCTTTGAGGTTGAAGTCGGGACGCTCGTGCTGACGAAAATGCTTTGCAGGCATTAGGGTCTAACGTGTACAGCGTTATAGGATCTAAAGATCCGAAACCCTAAAGAATTTTTGGGGTGTAGGGGTCGAGGCCTTAGCGGACCAGGGGTGTGTAGTCGCCAGCTCTATTTCAGCTGTCGCCCTTGGACCCTGCGCTTTGCTTCCAGATTTGCGTGAAAGCTTAGGCCTAGGCGACTTGGGTTTCAAGATGTTTCACGTGTTTCACATTAGGGTTGCATGCACAGCGAGATGTCAGCATACCGCACCAACGTGTTGAAGTTTTCCTCGTGAGGCTGCAGGAGGCCAGACTTGCCGCCATCCGAACCAGGCTCCAAGCAGGAACGGCAGAGCATGGACGATTAGAAGCTCTGCAAGCCGCCACGCTTCTCGCCGTTCCCGCGCCGGTGAGACGTAAACCCAAAAGCCTGAGACGGCGCAGAGCCCGAACATGTCTTTTCGAGGGCGGCGCCTCTTCCCATGTGGGGAAGCACATCGCCTTAAAAGACCACCCGAGAAAGACCGGGTTTTGAGGCAGGAACAATCATAGCACAACGACGCGCCTGCAATCCTTTCAGGGGCCTGATCACTGTCATGTCTTCTGAGTGTAGGGTGCTGCCGGATTGTGGAGACCAGCTCGCAGACAACCAATTTAGCAGGGAAAGGGCTTCGTCATGGCGGTTGCTTTTTGCATTACTATTACTATACACGGTATATTCTACTGCAGCCTGGAGAGGAGGCTGCGCGGGGCGCGGCAATCCCATGTGAGCTGTGGCATCCAGCAGGCACCTGCGCCCCACTACTCTGGACGGCCATCTCCATTCATCAGCCATTTCCGAAACCGCCCTGACCATTTTTTAATAATCAACCCTATCTCCTGGAGCCTACAGGCCCCAAACCTCCCTTGACCCAAATCTTGCAGCTTGATCCAGGCAAAACTATGGCCATGCTCCGCTCGAGATCAAGAGCCCAATGAACTCCAATGAGTATGAAGCAGGTGTTTTGAAAGTCTAGGGTGTTGGGTTTAGAGTAGTTTTGTTTCTGGCATTTGTTGTCCGTCTTGGAGATGCCAGGAGATTTCATGGCATCCGCTGCCCTTCTGTCCCGCCAGGTCACCGCATCCTGGGTTCTTATTGCCATGCAGTCAGCTCGACGGATTCCTGCCCTGCAGTAAAACTGACCTGAAGCGGTTGCTCGCCGGCCGCCCGCAGTCCGAGCGCCACTTGGTGGGCTTCTCATGAGGGACGGTCGGGGTCGGCACTTGCGGGCACTTCGCCGGCATTGCCACGCCTTCGCACCCGCACAACCTGGGAATCGACGGACCCCTGCGAAGGAGGAGCTGAGCAAAGCTGTCAACCATCCTCGACAGTGCCCCACTTGGAATCTACAGGATGCGGCGTTGTCAAACCCATCTCGGATGGATAGTCATGATCGTTATAGGGTGCGTGAGGCACATCTCTTTCTCAAGCTTTAATGGCCCCTACAAGATGGAACCTTCATTGTCTTGGTGGCACAGCTCCGAATTAAGCTCCCAGAAGAGACCGGGTCCTGGTCAAGGCTGACGCTCGCTTGCCCAGAAGCAGTTCAGCCCCGTCGCCCTCACTCGCATGACAACCTGAGCCCTAGATGCCCCAGACTCAGCTTGAGCGACTGGGATCTGTGCCCCTTTTGCCACGTCACCTGCGCAGAGAGACACTGTAGGCGAAGACGCTCGAGGAGGTGAGGCGAAGGCATCTGTCTTGTAGCAAGTTCTGGCGACCCTTATGATCCCCTCCTGCCCTCTCGATGCCCGCCCTTTGCCTTCCCCTTGCTGGGTTGTCCCTGCTCATGGAATCGTGCTGAGAGCTTTAGGGTTTAGGGTTTGGGCATTCGCTCTCAAGCAAGCTCTACTTCACTGCCCGCCCTGTTTCACCCCTAAATCCTGCTTTTGCTTACTATAGCTCAGACTGTCCAGGGGGTAGGGCGTCGTTTGAAGCAAAGCCATGGGGTGTAGGGCTCAGGTTTCCTTGGTTTCGGGTTTAGGCCGTCATTTCTGAAATTGACGCAATGACATTGACATCAAATCCGTCAAACGCTCAAGACCATGGCTTCAAGAGAAGCCCAAACTCTGCACATCGAGACAAGAACATTGGGGCCGGAATGATTCGGAATGGTATCACTTCTTATCATCCCAATGACAATTATAGTATAGTAGAAACCCCGGAGCCATTCTTCCAATTATTAAGGTTCCTATCTTACCTCTTGTGTCTCAAGCGTGGGTTCTCTGGTCCGGAGGACATGGGTCCATGACACTGGCGAGCTCTGGCTTGTGGCATCGAAAGGTTATCATCCTCTCCCCCTAATATTAAGCCCCCCACCCGCCCTAATATGAAATACCTCCCCATTCTGGTATATTATGATATGTTGGTGGTATTTAATATTAGAGGGGTTAGGGGGAGAGTTTTACTCTGCAGCCAGCGTCAGGCAGTCGCCATAGCCTGCCAGCAGTGAGCTCTGCCCCCGCTCAGGCTTTATTTCATGGGGGGCATGGGCTGCACAGATCCGAGCAGGGTCTCAGCAAGCATCGGGCTGCATTCGGCTGCGCCATAAAAGTGCCCTGCAGGGCGCGAAAATATGTGAGGCTAGGTAGATTTTTTTGCGTTAGTTATTCTGAACCCCAAACCCGTTGCAAGCCGCAAGACCCTACACATCATAGCCGATATCCTGAAGTCCGACCCTTGATTCAGGGAGAGGCACCGATTTCGACCTCAAGCCTAAACAGAAAGAACTTGAGCTGACCAGGTTTTGGGTCTTCGCGTTTAGGTCTTTAGGTGTTTGGGTCCAAGCGCTGCACCTATAAAGTCCCTAAGCCCAATACCACTGAACCCTAAACCCTATAACCCCCAGCCTTAAACCCGAAACCCTAAACCTCTGAACCCTGAATCCTCTAAACCTAAGCCCTGAACCCTACTGTAAAACCTAAACCTCTGAACCCTAAGCCTCTGACCTGAAGCAGCCAGCTTAAACCTGAACAAGTCCCTTGAGGTTCCTCTCTAGAAGTATAGTATAAAATGCCCGAACACCCTGTGCTAATGACATAGCTACTTTAAAGCCCTATTCTCATTGCATAGATATACGAAAATATTCGCGGAAGCCAAATTCTAGCTGTTAAGGCCCCTAAAGAAGTTGCTACCAGCTACTCAATAATCAGGAACAGTACCCCGTTGCTTAAAGCTTTACAGTTCTTGCACAACCTGTACTGCAATATAGCCCGACAGCCCTTTTCCAATTGTTGAGGCCCCTCTATTCAATTGGACAGTCGTGTTCACGTTTAGTGGTTAAGGGTGTTGGGTTTAGGCACCTGCTTTGGCACTTTGATTTTGTCATGAGTTCGAGCACAAGTCCTTCTTGCTTGATAAATCCTCAGTCCAGCCGTGCGTACGTAAAGAGGGGTCTGGTGGTTGGCTTAGCATTCATCGTTGCTTCTGCTTCAAAGGTTGCATGTACTGGGTGTGTGTGACTATGCCAAATGATTTTTCCCATCTACCGAGATTGCTCGTACCTCGTTCAGTGTCATTGCAGTTTCGGAAGAATGTCCAGCCCTCAACCCTAAACCCCTGCTTAGATGCAGAAGGACTTGTCATACCCTGCCCATCAGCTCGAGACTGAACCCTCCCCACCCCTCAAAGGCACGCCATGCTTTCTTTAATCTTGCTCTGGGCAGCCTTTCCTTGGAAGGCACTAACTGCCCGGGAGTATTCGATGCAGCTGCTGCAGCACAAGATGGTTCTCAGTGGGCCAGAGCTTCGGCTGGAGAAGGCCGAACCTTTGGATTGGCTGCACTTCCCGAAATCTGGCAGCTCTCTCATCAATGCGCTGGTCCACCTTCCTGGAGTTTGCCCACTGCTTGGCAACCTTACCCTGGACGAGGAGCTCTTAGGCCCATGCTGGTTGGAGGTGTGGTACAAAGACTACTGTGTGAAGTTGTGCCAGGCGGACAAGTTCTCCTGTCCTCCTAACGCCTCCTTGCCACACCGCCCTATGGTGAATTTTTCGGCCCAGAAAGGCCACTTGGTGGGTATGTTCCGCGATCCCGATCAGCGCATTCTGTCCGGCTACCACGATGACTTCAACAATTTCGCGGCGGTCGGCTACATCGACCACCTCGTGGAGGACATGCTATCAGATCCGGACTTGGACATGGAGAATTGTACAGCTTCCGTGCGCGGGCTGGCAAAGGTGCCCATTTTGGATTTTGCTGAGGCCTGGAAAGGCGGGATGACATACCAACTGGTGACAGAGCATCCGACCACGCAAACGCTCGATCCAAAGCGACCCCGGATGACCCATGCAGATGCAGAGGAAGCAGCTCGCAGGGTCCGTGAAGGCTTCGCATTTGTAGGCATCACTGAAGAGTGGGACTTGTCAATGTGCCTGCTTCACAAGATGTTTGGGGGAGTCTGCCAGGCCTCAGATTTCATAAACATGAACCCAACTTATCACGGGAAGTCTGCCGAAATGGACTACGACACCTCTGAGCTTCATGGCTGGCATGACGATGTTGACGAGGTGGTTTACGCTGCAGCCCTGGGCGTGTTCCTTGGTAGTTCAGCGTCTGCAATGGTACCAGTGGTATGCAGTTGCATATTAAGTATAGCAGTATAGGGGTCAGTACGGTAGTAGTAACCTGGCGAGTAGTCTTGTAGAAACATAATGAAAGTAGCCTAGTCAGTAACTAGGGTTACTGGGCCGAAACCTTAATCGGGGCCTTATGCCATAACCCTTCTTAGTATACTGGGATTAGATAGGGATAATGGAAAACAAAATGGAAAATATCAGATTATAGTCTCTTATAGTACACTGCACCACCTAGGTTCCGCCAAAATCTGATCGCTTATAACGTCTCCCACGAGGCGTGCAGGGACTGTTACAGAATCGCGGCAGATCTGGGAGGTTCGAAGCAGCTCCGTAAGCACATCTAGGCTAGGAGGACTCCCCACCCTGTAATAGTGATATAATAAGAATATAAGAGGACCCTAATATAGTCCTTATTATCCCTTATAGTCACTATTACAGGGTGGGGGGTCCACCTAACATCTAGGGTTTAGGGAATATAGTTTTGAGAGTCTGAGGTTTATTTCGTGTTTGGGACATACATATAGTTAAGTATGTACAAGATTGCATAATGAGCATGTGATCACATTCCTTTTCATTGGCTGGGCCAAAAGCAGACAGCATGACTGGCCGTCACGCGCAGAGAGCGTTTGAATGAAAGGCACTGTGGGATCAGTATCTGCAGAGTCAGCGCCGGGAAGTGGGAACCCTAAACCCTATACCCGAATCGAAAGACCCTCGACCCAAACGCCAGACCCTAAACCCTAGACTAGACCCTAAACTCTAGTTTTTATTTTGCTCATGCTTTCGCCTGCAGTTCCATCAACTTGTGTGTCGTCTGTGAGTTTGGGGTCATCAGATTGTAAGAGATCCATGTTCTTGCGGGTAATTTCAGTTTACCTTAAAACCTAGAATCTAGAGTTCACCTTGGACCACTTTGTACACAACTGGTTAAGACATGTTAAGACGTATGTGAGCCATAGTCTAAACTCCGCAAAGGGGGCTATACAGGGGATTCTATAGGGGAGTACTTTAGGGGTTGTTTAGGGGGATATTAACGGGCACACTAGGAGTGCAGACCATAGCTCATATAGCGACAAGTATGACCTGGTGTTCCATCGACGTGTTCGAAAGGTTCCAAGGCAAATTTGCAAAGCAGTCCTTTGCGTGTCGTATGCAGATGCGCAGGAGGCTGGCTCAGAACATTACACTACAGATAGCAAGTGGGGAAGCTGATTTTTTGAGGCATTTGGGAGATTGGGTGGCTTTTGAGGGGTCTGGGATTCCCTGAGTATGCATGGAGGAAGCTGGGGAGAAGGTCTCTCGCCCCCTCCAGCCGCGGTCGGCGGATCTACCCAGAGGTTCGGACCCTTGTCTACGCGCAAATATACAGGGTGCAGTTTGCAAAGAGCTTGATCTGCAACCAGAAGGAGAGTAGAAGGAGTAAACAAAAGTCTGCTTCTCTGAGAGGGCCCCAAGGATGATGTTCCATCGGGAAAGCTATGCTGATGCAGCCTACTGTAATCATGTGCTCTTTGTAATCTTGCCTACGTCTGTAGAATTCTGTACAGTTATCGGGACTGTTATTATATGCTGTAGAAATTATAGGACTCTGATTGATTTCCCACCCTCCCCGGCTAAGCACACAGAGGCTTGTGGTCTTGAGAGCCATTTGGGCTCTTGCAGTTGTGTTCCATTGCCCAGATTCTACAGATCCGCAAGGCGTGGTCGCTTTGGGTTCGGGCAGATGATTGTTCAGGGACTCCTGGAGAAGCTGCGGCGTTTTGGGATGTTTTGGGTTGGCCATAGGCCATAAGAGATATATCGAATTCTGTAAGGGTTACGGACTTCTATCCAGATCACATAGGCGTCATGTACCTGTGGAGGAAACCCATGACGTCTGTGTTTTGGCCAGTAAGCTATTCCGAGTTAGGGGGTCCAGGCATTTGTCTGCATCTTCATGGCGAAGATGGAGGCTTTCGCGAAAAAAGGAGTCCAAGATGCTAAGACTCCCAACAGGACTTTTTTCGCTGATCAACCCCTCTGTCACCGACCCAGGGACTTGTCTCTTGCCAGGCTCTCCCCGACCTTCCTGTCAGGGAAGATGGGTTACGTTGAAGCGCTGTTGCGTATAGAGGCCAGCTGAACCTGTTTCTTTATTGGGGCAGGGTTGGGTAGGTAGGCATACAATGTGCTATTTCTAGTATATAGCGGAGTATAGGGAGACAGAGGAACCCTTAAAAGGAAGAGTTTGGCACATTTGGAGGCCCCGAAGTACATGGAATTAGGGTTCAGGGTTCGCTTGTAACAGGGTCACATCAAAGCTGCAAGGGATGATAAAGAAGCGTCGTTCAGGACTCGCCTTGCATGGAGTCTGGAGGGACTAGGGGTGTCACAGGGAAGGAGGGTTGGGGGTTGGCCTTTAGAAGGGTTGTGCTGGAATCTGGAATCATAGTGGGTTACAGGGGAACCAGGGTTTGTTTTGTAAGGCTTACAAAAAAGTACTGGGGGATCACAAGGAATCAGGGCCAGCCTTGCAAAAGATTAAACGCATCCATGTGCATGGAAGTAACAGGAACCGATTGACCGTAACAGTGGAGTGTGACAGGAACCGGCGCCAATTCTGTAACAGGAACCCGCCAGTTTCCGTAACAGGGCCGCCGAGCCCTGCGTAAGGGGAACCAGCCGGGGCTTCGGAAAACCCAGACATGTGTTAAGAATAGCTAAAACTTTCTTCTTCAGATTCTGCCAAAAGGGGACCGATTTTCGGCCCCCCTTTTAGATGCATTTTGTCGGGCATTTCCGGCTTCCTACCAACCTTAAGCCAAGCCACAGCCTCAAGTATCGATTTATCATTAAGCAAGGGCAGACGTGTTAACTTCAGGGTTTACGGTTTAAGGTTTAGGGTTTTTGGATCCAAGTTTTGGGATTAGAAAAGGTAATCCTATAAAAAGGGGACCAACATATTGTAGCCCCCACTTGGGCTGGGGGCTCGCGATTCTGCCTCACTTGGAAGGTCAAGCGGACTTAGTAAGTGTACTTATAGCCCCTAAAAAGCATAGCAGCCTCTTTTAGCTGTTATCCCTATAGTGAAGAAGTCCCCTTGATCCAGAACCTAATACCATAGACCCTGACCCTTAGACCCCAAACCCTGACCATCCCTGACCCTTGGAGGGTGAAGATCTAAAGCTCTGGCTTGGAGTTTAATGTTTAGGGGTTCAGGGTTTAGGTGCTTGCTACCATCATACTTTGGAGTCGTAGGAGTAGTAGTAATTGTACTCATAGCCACAAAAAGCAGATAGCAGCCTTTCTTATCCCTATGATGAGTGAATCCCCTTCATCCAGCCCAGCACTCTAAACCCTAAACCTTGACCTTTGGAGGGTAAAGATCCAAAGCTCTGGCTTGGAGTTTAGGGTTTAGGGGTTTAAGGTTTAGGTTCAAGATTGAAGAAAGAGTGTAGAAGTAGTACTAGTGCCAGTACGAGCAGAAAAATGATTAGGATGATGTACAAGTAAGTTGCAAAAAAAGAGTGTAGAAGTAGCACTAGTGGTAGCTCAACCAGAAAATGAGTAGAACGAGGTACAAGCAAGTTGCAAAACAGTTGTAATGGAGAGGGACTGATTTTCGATCCCCCACCTTGCGAGCTTTGGGCTCCAGTTTCGGCTGCCTGGCGGCCTGGTTTCGGTTACGTTTTGGCTGCGGTTTCTGTTACGGTCCCGGCTGGTTCCCGTTATGAGTCCGGAAAACTGGTTCCCGTTACGGCCAAAATGGTTCCCGTTACGCCCCGCACCCGTTTATCAAGGGAAGAAGGCTACAGGTCTGTTGGTGGATGATTCGTCATTCTTGGGATGGCTGTAGGGTGGATTCACCCGCAGAGCTTGTAGGACTAGAGTTGTATCATTGTGCCACTGACTTGGAGCGACGGTCCAGTGTTAAAGGACTCTGAAGCGCGGTGGTCGCGTGTGGTCGCTGTTGGGCTCGTGCCATGTTGACCAATCACGATGTTCATATTTGCAGACAGCAAGTGGTCTGGCCTGATATACACATCATGAGACGCTAGGGTGCCCGTGCGAAGGCGAGAGGACGTGGCCGTCCCAAGCGGGGTGGTTGAGTTGATCATGATTGACATCCTCTTGCGGAGGCGTGCTGTGTGCGCAGTACATGTGTTGTCTGGCTGTCACACTGGGCTGGGTTTGCAGGTGCAGGTTCTCGCCATCTTCTTGGCGGCGCCTGGAAGCTTCGACAAAAGAACATGAAACCTGCCCTGGGTTGCAGTCTCAGGCTAAGGGCAGGACAGCAATTTCAACTTACTATCTATCCGATCTGATGTCAATCACCGCCTTGTGCCGACCATATGTATTCTTGTGTATGCTCATAGGGACAAGCCATAGTTTTCGGTGAGAGTAGATGTCAGATCTTAGCTGTTGTGCCGAGGCAATGCCAGATGATTCGCGCTTTGGAGTTGCACAACTTCTTGAACTCAGTTTCTTTCAGCCAAGAGAAGCGTGTCAAGGAGCTGCTTCGTTGGCAGCTAGGTTTAGATACATGAGGCCTTGAACGCAGCAAGGGCGCACAATGAAAGCTTTTGAAGTCAATTTTACTCCGGTGCTGGCAACTAAGGAGGCCGTGCCGATGGCAAGACCACATTTGGGAACTGAGTCGGCGTTAGGAGCTGGCTGCCCAGCTTGCCCAGCACTCCACATATCTTCCATGGTCTTGCCGAAGAACTGTGGCATCTTGCGCCATCCAGCGCCTAGATCGGCTTGGGGTTGACGGCCAGCGCGTGACTAGCCAGCAGAACTCAGACTTCAACAGTATGAGCTGACAGCCCAGCACCCTGTCACATGACATGCCGTGCCTTGCTTTGCCATGCAACTGCGGCTGCCAGCTAGTCGCCTTGCTGATGGCCTCATCGGGGGCCTCGCAGCAACTGGCACCCAGCAGCAAATTATATTTGTGGAGAGCCCGTCAGAAGAACTGCATGCGTCTGGGATTTGCGAGTGTACAAAGAGCCACTGAGCTCTTTGCCGAACGATGACGTTTTCAGGTTTCTGTCAGTGGCTTGCTCGCATGACAGGGCCGAGTGCTTGAGGCAGCGGTCTTCGGCCTTCCAGATCTCCTTTGTTGCGTTCCACGAGCGTGTGCGTTTTAAGTGCTGACGCCGGCTTATCCAGCCGTATTGTGTGAGTAAACAAGCTTCCCATGATCTAGCTCCACAAGAAGTGCTCTTCGTAGATCATGCCGACTAGTTGTAAGAGGCCTTGTTTTTCTTACCGAGTCAGTCACGCCACCCCTCATCGTATCTCAACCAATTTTGTCCACAGGTTCCGCCCTGTGTATAACCAGTAGATCAATTTCATGCTTGAG